GTGACTGAATTCATAGGCGTGTTCTCTGTGGCAATCAAGAAATCCACTTAATATGGAAGTCTTCTGGTTATAAAGTCATGGATCTAAGTCCTTGAGCATAGAGTGGCACACTATGGGGGTTGAACAGTCCTGCCCCTATTGTAAGATATAATCATTTAACTTCTCCGGCTTTAAGACGACATTCTCAATGTCCTGGATGCTTTTCCCATTTGAGTGCTCGCTGGAGAAGTCGTGACTGTACGCCGTGCCGTCACTGATGGTTGACACTGTGTAGGACGCGCTGCGGAGGGCATCCGAGTGCGAAAAGCTGCTTCCAAACTGGATCTTATATTGATACCAGTTTCTTCTTAGAATTGCTTGAACCTGTCGATCAAGAGGAAACAGAAAGAACAAGAGCAGTCCACTTTTTGGAATGAAGATATTGTGTAATATCATAAGTTATATATAAAGGCTTTTAAAAAAAGGCATTAATATTAGTGAATAATATTACCTTTTTCCTTTCTTTTTTAAAAAATTATCTTTATTGTTGAATGAATTCTAGCTGTTCCATCTTAGTTCCCCACTGACCCCTCCACCTCCCACCCGCCCCCCTCCCAGGCCCTCACCACACTATTGCCTGTGTCCATGGGTAATGCATAGAGGCATGTACGTTCTTGGGGTAATCTCTCTCCACCCACACACCCAACCCCGCTTTTTAAACTTAATTTAAAAAATTAAATTGAGTGAACCATCTTCATGTTAGGGAATCATTGCTCTTACTCTGCACTTGTAGATTTCATTAATATTTTCCTTTCCATGCCTTATTTTTTAAGCTTTCATAATGAATATGAATGTATTGGTGTAAAACAAATAGTCAATACAGACGCCATTACAAACCTGTGTGTGCAACTTTGAAGTTTATAACAATATCTTTAGAAACAGAATGAGATGATGAATGAGAGTATAAAAGAAGAGGGACAAGAGATAAAAGAAAAAGAAATAGGAGTACAGGGAATATAAATCATCATCATCACCATCATCATCATCACCATCTGCTTTATCATCATCATCTCCAGCAGCAGCAACAACCTTTTACTGAGTGATTAGCATATGCCAGGGGTTGAGCTACATTCTGGGGGGGTGGGGGGGGAGAGCAGGGCTCCTGTCCGCATGGAGCTCACTCCCTGGAGGGAAAAAGTCCCCAACAGATAATTGCAGATGAGATGAGGATTGAGAAAAACTGGACAGGCCATCCCATGGTGACTTTGGTTTTAACTGAGCATACGACACTGGTGTGATTTTCTTCAGACTGAGTCAGTGAGGGCCAGTGACTCACCTCCCCCTCAACACCCTGGGCCTCTCCAGGTGTCTGAGGAGAGAGGAGACGGGCTTGGGGGCCAGCTGTTTCTTGTTATAAGTCTCTAAGCCACATTCCAGCGACCTGATCTGTGTCTTTTCAAAGTATGTGCAGCTTTGAACAGTCTCCCTTGCCCGGCCTGGCCTGGCTCAGTGGCTGAGCGTCGACCTACAAACCAGGAGGTCACTGTTCCATTCCCGGTCAGGGCACATGCCCGGGTTGTGGGCTTGATCCCCAGCCTGGGGCGTGTAGGAGGCAGCCCATCAACAATTCTCTCTCATCATGGATGTTTCTCTTTCCCCCTCCTTCTCCCTTCCTCTCTGAGATATATATATATTTTCTTCCTCAAGCTCCCCTATTCCTTGGCCCTTTGATTACTGCCTCAAAGAGAGTCTGAGCATCTGATTTTCATGCTAATTCAAGACCCCTCGCTGTGTTTGTTACTAAGGGATGGACTGACTGAAGACAGTCACTATATAGTTTCTGAGTGGAAGGAAGTAGAATGCAACTGAGTACAAAATATTCTACTGAGTGTTACTAAGACACTGACAGGAAGTCATACCTTAGCTGTGAATGTAGTACTTAGAGTCTTAAAAAGGAAAGCTTAAACTCTAAAAGCCGAAACGGTTTTTGAACTGACTGTTTGCTCTTGAACTGCCTTGACTAAGATCAGCACCCTGGATCCTATCAGCAAACAAACACATAAACACACACACACCATGGAAGTGAACAAGGAGCCTAATTAAAACCTATCGGCCTTTAGGCATCTGTTTGTGCGTAGTATTCTCCATAAAGGTGTGACGCTTTTCATTTGCCTCATTTAATACAATTTCAAAATTATCTGGGTCATCACAACACTTGAGAGTAGTTATTCCACTTGGTTCTGGATGGGTACCTTCAACAGGACGTGAAAGTGTCCACTTTTAATAAACTTTAAGAAAAATTTAATAGGGAAAGGTAACAAGGAAAATTGCCATTGGATGGGAAGATAGCCTGATGTTATTAAAGATATTAAAATGTTTTTCATTGTTTTACATGTGTGTTATATAAATAGCTAGGCCAACTGTTTAGAATATTATATTACAACTCTATATACCCCTTAGCAGCTGATAAGGAACCAGTGCTACACTCAACCTAAATCAATGAAAAGATATTTAATAAAAAATTCTACCCAGTTCTCATTACAGAACATGGGCCCTGTTGTTCTCAACACAATTTTATTGACTTTGTAAAAATAACTGCTCTCAAGTACGGTGGTTCTTCACTGTCCAGGGCCCTGCTGACGGCGAGAATTCCTGGTTTATGCAAACAGCGCACATCTTTGTCCCCATGGACGAGAGATGAGATGAGAGAATGTCGCCCGAGCACTTGTCAGGCCACAGTTACTTCACTAGTGAGAAATACAAATGGACATTTTGCCTAAAACATAAAATACATAGCACGTGAGAGTAAAACAAGAACAGAGATACTGAGCCAAAGCAAGCGATTCCACCTAACGGCGGACACGAGAGGGAAACGGATCCTTTGAGAATGATTGTAAGAAGCGCATGACGTCGTTGGACCCACACACCATGAATCTGGAAGCTGCGTTTCCATGTTGTGAGCGTGTGAGAGACGGAGAGAGAGACAATAAAGGCGGATGATGGTGTTTCTCAAGAGGAGAATGAATCAGGCACAAGCAGGGTTACATCTTAGGAGACGAAGAGCAGGGGACAGAAGTTGCAGATGGGAGGAACTGAAAGATTTGGCAACGGCTTGGCTCACGGGTTTTGTAAGATTGAAACTTTTCACTGCCAAAGGGTTCGCAATGTGAGGACGTGGCCGAAGATCAAAGCTGCGCCCCGCTTGCTTACTCAGACGGAGTGCAACTCGGCGCTGGCCAGGAGTGAGCCAGTCCCTGGGCGCTTTTTCTAAATTAAAGGGCCAATTTGAGATTTCACTCCAATATGATTAACTTTCCCTTTTTAAAAATGTATTTTTGAAAATGGTCGACCTGACAAGTCTAGTAAGGAACCTGGCATGCACTGAGGGTGCACCCTGGTGCTGAAACTCTATGTTCCTCGCTTCCGTTCCTCCTCGCGGGCCCCGTGTGAGGAACTCGCTGTTACTTTTCTTTAGGGTTAGAGTATTGGCCAAGGGACCCATCCAGAACCAAGTGGGATCTTTGGGGTTTAAATGCACTGTCACACCCGTGCTTTTATTCCATGCTGCCTCCTATCACCACATATTTCATTAGTGATTACGTTTTGTACCTTTTCAATTCACCCTTTATAAAAATCACACGTGTGTCTGCCGAAGCAGAGGTACCTACTCATACTTAACACGTTCTTTGCATGTTGTCCATACCTCTCTCATCTAAGTTTAATTATAAAATCCCATGTAGGCAGTAAACAGAATTGTCTAATTCAGCTTAAGTGTGTAGTAGTACATAACAATTGCTACTTGAATGTTATTATCAAAAATGATTTATCTATTTTTCTTGATTGGGTGTTCTGTCTCTACTTCTCACTGACATTAGAAAACAGCACCTGGCCCTCTAGAGAGAAGAATCCGGGAAGCACCACTTAGCGATATGAAAGGTAGTCTCCACTGCCGGACAGTTCTACAGCCGTTAGGAGTAAATCACTATATACAGCAGATGCCTCTGTTCACAAATTAAAACATGTCAATTTTAATTTAAAACTTAAACTTGAAGTTTTACTCTTTGCTAAGAGAAAGAAGAAAAATATTGAGCCAAAGAAAGCGATATCTAATTGTTTCTAAGGCGCACATGATGGCCAACATTGACTTGTCTGGTGGGAACGGTTCTCTAAGGTCATGCTAACTGCTTCCATCTGTTCTCCGTCTGAAGCTCCGTGATAAGCTCACAGTTACCGAGTGTCCCCGGCTCGCTCAGCTGCTGCCTGGGTTTCTAAACTTGGTCGCATGTTGCCAGAACCCTCCAGCAGGTTAAAATTTGTCAAGTGGATTAAAAACATACAGAGCTAGGCCAATGGAGCGCAAATGACTGCGCATCACGCCGTTCGTGGGCATGAGAAATCGAGCACCACCAGATTCTAGAACTCCTGGAACTCCTCCGTTAGCACAGACTTGGACGGAAATGTGGAAATGTCCAGGACTACATGGCTGTGTTTCAAATCACAGCACGCCAGGCTCTCGCTGTCCGAATCCACTGCAGCTCCTCCTTATATAACCGAGAGTCTAATTTTTAGAAATGCTCTTGTATCTACCATAAAGCTGTTGCCAAACAACACATGTGGGCCAGGCAGGGAAAAACAAACAAACAAAACACAGAGGAAAGGGGAAAATAAAATGAGCCCATTCTCCTTCCTCTGAGAGGCTGTGCAGGTCCTGTGGGGTCCGGGAGGGGCTGGCCCGCACAGGTCCGCGTCCGGAGGAACAGGTCACTTCCAAAGGCAGGTCCCAGGCTCGGTAAATAAGAGCCCCGGACAGAGTATCTCACCGTGAGGCCGACTCTGTCCCTGGCCTTGACCTCCCCAAATGGCCTGAGAAGAGACTCTATGGTGCTCTGTCCCGAGGGAAACACTATTGGAAATAGTTGTTCCTGGGAATTCGTAATTCTGCCTCATGGGTTTTTTTTGTTTGTTATTTTTAAAGAAAAAAAAATACATGACTCCTATGAACACATCAAAGGAATACCATCAACCACCATACCTCTCCGTTAAAGAAGCAGAAGATTGTGGAGACCAGAAGACCCTGTAGGAGAAAAACAGAACAATCTGATTCCAAGCAGAAAAGATACGGTCCATGATTTAAAACCCGCTCACGGCCCAGGTGGTTAGTGAAACCTGTGGGTACAGTCAGCTCCACACCCACTAGGTGCCTCCAGCCAGGGCGCGCCCTTCTGGGAACCCGCCCTCTGCCCAGGTGGCCGCAC